GAGGGAGGAGGGGACGGGTATTTGTATACACAAGGAGTGCAATGCGCACTACCCAAATGATGGACATATGTGAAACACGGACTGGTGGGGGCAACCAAGGGCAACACACGTAACCTAAACATCTGTACCCCCATAATATGCTGAAATAAAAAAAATATATTCCCCTCTGACTATAAGGTGGTCATAGTTCTAGGTGTTGAATGCTGTCCTAAGAACTATTGAACTTGATCTCTTCCTACAACTGATTTTTAAAATTATTCTTTCAGAATTTGCCTTTCTGATATGCTCACTTTCTGATTTTATTATTCATATCAAAAAGAAACTCATGTATGTATTAAACTAATAAATATAAGAAATCATTGTAATGATTTAGATGGAAATGTTTTTTAGGAGCAGTTTGAGATTGTGCCTTTACTTACATCATCTGTAATATTTAGCTTATACATTATGCGTTCTAGAAATTCAAGCAAAAGGCAAAAGATTTTGATGCTTTCCATGTCATTCAAGATTGCAGTGGGTTGCTACAGGAATAAAGAAAATCAAGTGAAAATATGAAGACCTGTAAGATACACAGAGGATAGGTTGTTCATGGCTAACAGAAAATAGAGTTCCTTTTCCTAAGAGAGTTGGATAGAGGGAACTATTTTCTATATTATTTTCAAAAACCTTTCTAATATGGCAACAATTGAAATCTAATAACAAAGAGCCTTTTCTCACGTAAGAGCTGTCCTAACTCTTCTGTTTAGCCACACTTGCATAAGTATTTTCAATTTCTTTGTCTTCAGGACATGTGTGGGTAAATTCTTCACGGGCATAAGCATTGTGGAGATAGCGCCAGACTCCCGAGAATTCTGCTGGAATATCAAACTCACGGTATTTCTTGGCAGCAACCTAGGTTTTTGGGAAAAAAATGAGGAAAAAGAAGTTGGTAGTAAAAGGCATCAGTAATATGTCTACTATGTAGAAACAGACCTCAAAAGTCAAGGTGTTGAAGACATCAACACAAAAAGTACTATAAAATAAACTGCAAAATAAAGAATATTGGATTTACTGTTTAAATGTTTTGTCTACAAATGTTGACAAAGCTATATGCTTACAATCAATGTTTATATTGATGCTGTATTTAATTATGCATATATTTGGAGGAAGGAAGCACAGAAAAGAAGCACATATCTACTACCATTAGACTAAGAGTTTATTTAGGATCCTATGTCTTATTTCTTTATGTATTCTCTGTATCTGACATAAGACACAGAGAGTAAGTTCTATGTAAGTTTTTACAATAAATATTTGTTAAATTAGTGATTAAACCATCATCATAATATTAATAACCCATATTGTTTATCACTTGCTATGATCCAGGCACTGTTCTAAGCATTTTACATGCTTTAATTTATTTAATTCTCTTAACAATTCTGTGAAATGGGTAATATTATTATCCTCATTTTAAAGACAAGACAGTGAAAAACACTTTCTGATTTAGGAAGAAAGAAACAAGAAGTTTTAATGCTTCCCAGATTCTTATAGATTTTTCCTCTAAGGAGAAAAAGGAGATATATACTATGCATGATGATGATGACAAAGCTACAACATAACAGCCTCACACTGGAAAGTCACTGTGCTCTGTGCTGGCAACTTACAACCCACCCCCATACCATTCAGTCTGCCCTATAAAGACTTACTTTAATAATGTTCAGTTTTGGTAACAAGCTACAGTCAGCCAATGTCAGCTGATCCCCATCCAAGAACAATCTTCTGGAAACTGTGAGTTCCTCAGCATTGTCTGCATCAATTTCATCCAGAAGTGGGGTGTTTAAGTAATCATCCAGACGCTTAAATTCTCTGAGCAGAGATTTTTCAAAATCTGAGGAAATGAAGTCATAGTGTTACCTATAAATGTATTGTCTTTATGACTAAATATATTCTCAATATGCTTTTTACACATTTAGTAAATTTATTCAAGAATGTTTGTGGGAGATGGTGGATGCAAATGTACACAGTCCTGCAGTTAATTCATCCCTGGCATGTCAATACTCTAATTGAACTAAGTTGGTAATTGCTATATTGAACATTAAGTTCTAAATCTAATAAAATGCTGGGCATCATTATCCAAAGTGGAGCACCACAAGAGCAGCAGAACGGGACCCATTTGTACCCACCATCAAATTGGTATTAACTAATCAACACATAAATGCACATATCAGAACAACATCTAGTGGATGCTAGGGAAGGGGGAGGGCGGTGGGAGGAGGGGTGAAGAGGGAGGAGGGGAGGGGTATTTGTATACACAGGGAGGGCAATGCGCACTACCCGAAGGATGGACATATTTGAAACATGGACTTCGGTGGGGGGGGGAACCAAGGGCAACACACGTAACCTAAACATATGTACACCCATAATTTGCTGAAATAAAAAAAAAAATGCTGGGCATGGTAACTCATGCCTGTAATCCTAGCACTTTGAGAGGCTGAAGTGGGAGGATTGCTTGAGGCCAGGAGTTCGAGACCAGCCTGCGCAAGAGCGAGACCCCATCTCTACTAAAAACAGAAAAATTAGCCAGGCATGGTGGCAGGCACTTGTAGTCCCAGCTACTCAGGAGGCTGAGACAGGAGGATCACTTGAACCCAGGAGTTTGAAGTTGCAGTGAGCTCTGATCATTTCACTGCACTCTACCCTGAGCAATAGCGTGAGACCCTGTCTCAAAAAACAAACAAAAAAATACATATAATAAAACTTCATGCAAAGGAATTTCAGAGGAGAGAACAGAAAATGAGAGGAAGACTGCACTGTTACCCAACATATACTAACTATATATTCAGAAAAATCCTATTTTTGCTAAGTGAGAATGTGAGAGTGAGCAAGTGAGTGAGAAAAACAGATTAAAAGAAAGGTGTCTTACTCTTATTTGATTCCTTTTTTGTATTTTTAATGTATGCAGAAAACTTGGCAAAGAGGTTACAGCCCACATCAAAGGACTCCTTGTACTTTGGACTCAGGTGAGGATACCTTAAGAAAAAACACCAGCAAACTATCAGTCACACACAACAAGACAGAGACCAGGTGCCTTAACTTGCACTATACTGAGAATAGAAATTTTGGAAAATTATGCTGGAAACTAAAGATCCTCAGAAATCTCTCAGCAAAAATATGTATTGTTCCCAATCTCAGAATACTTTAATTTCTAAAATTCATAGGGAAATTAGTTGTCTGGAATTCAAAGCTCATTTACCTGTAGAAACAATGTTTCAAATGATGGTTAGGTTTTCATACTTGCTTCTAAAAGCCTGTTTGGCAGAAGATATGGTTGTAATATAACACATTTATATTAAGTTATTATTTATTTATATGTATTATTTATATATTATATATTATTACATTATTTATAGAGATAAGTAGAAAAATACGGTTTCAAAATATTGCAACTTATAAAACAAATGAAGAAATAATTTAGCATAATTAAATAAATAACGTAATTATGTAATTCACATTAACAAATTAAATAAGAAAATCCATATGATCATAAATAGATGCAGAAAATGTATTCAATAAAAAATCAGAACCTTGTAGAGATATTTGTGTGCCCATGTTAATTGCAGCATTATTCATAAAGGCCAAGATATGGAAACAACCTAACTGTCCATGAACAGATGAATAAATATAGAACTTGTGATTATACATATATATATAAGATAGAATATTACTCACCTATAAAAAGGATATATTGCCATTTGAAACAACATGGATGAACCTTGAGGACATTATGGTAAGTGAAATAAGCTAGACACAGAAAGACAAATACCACATGATCTCACTTATGTGTGGAATCTAAAAAAACGTCAAATACATAGAAACAAAGACTGGAACAGTGATTATGGTGGGGAGGTAGGGGAGGAAATATAGAGATGTAGGTCAAAGGGCAAAAAGTTGCAGTTAGGTGGGCTGAATAAGTCTAGAGATATAATATACAGCATGAGGACTATAGTTAATAATGTTGTATTGTATACTAAAAATTTGCTAAAAGAGATTTTAAGTGCTCTTATCAAACAAAAGGTAATTATATGAAGTGATGGATATGCTAATTTGCTTGCTTGTGGTAATCATTTCACTATGTATATTTATAATCAAAACAGCATGTACACCTTGAACATATGCAAATAAAAGCAAAGGCTAAAATACTGAATTCCTATTCATAAAAAACTTCCTAGAAAACGGTCAGATAAAAAACGTACGCATCTTCCTTGATTCCTCTTTTCCTCCAACCCTATATTTGTGTCACAGCAACTCTAGCTAGCTTGCCTTTCAAAATGTATCCAGAACCTATCTACTTCTCACCACCTCCACTCCCTATGCCTTGTCCAAATTCTGTATTACTATAACAGCCTCTTGACTATTCTTCCTACCCCATACTTGGCCCTCATACCCCTGGAATATTCTCTGCCTGCAGCCAGAGCACCCACATTAAAATGAAAATCATATCATGTCTCTCCCCTACTCATTACCCTGAAATGTCCTCATCTCACTCGAAACCAGACCTCAAGTCAGTCCTCACAGAGATCTACTAAGACCCCTATGATCTAAGCCACCCACCCACTCAGTGTCTTTACCACCAAAAATCCAGGGTGATGTCTTTCCCATATTTAGTACTCTGTAATGGCCTCACTTTGCTCAGTCAGGGATCAATTCCTTACGGTGGTCTACTAGGACTGATATGCTACCTCTGTGCTCTCATCTCCTTCCCCCTCTCACTTGTGACACTGACTTTCCTGCTATTCTTCAAATAGCTCCAGCAAGCTTCTTCCCCAGGGCTTTTTACTTGGTGTGCCCTTGAATAAACTGCTTTCTCCCATATATACACATACTTTGCTTTCATCCTTCTTTTTGGCCTTTTTATCTGATATCTCTTTCTAAGTGAAGTCTTTCTCTGGACACAATTTAACATTGCAACCTCTCTCATCCCTAATACCCATTACTTCTCTCCCTTGCTTTACTTTTCTCTTTAGCAGCACAGTTTTACATTATCTGCATCATCTCTCCTGCAACCCCAGGCAGCATAGTATGGAGAGAGACACTCCCTGATTGGAGGAAGGAAGGGAAGTGAACACTGAACTTTGCCCAAGACCTCAACACTGTGCCCACTCCAGGACCAGGCTCCAGATCCATTCTAGGCTTCAAGGCTGCTCCACTTCCAGGCCATCCTCAGCATCCCCAGGCTCCGGACTGCCTTCAGCATCAGGCCAGCCACCATGGACCCAACCCCCAGGCCTGCAACAGCTCCAAGCCAGACCCTTCAGCCTCAGGCTTCAGGCTAGTCCCTGTACCTCTAGACTCAGCTTCTGGGCCCTCCCCAGAACCAGGTTAGCACCTATGGACCCCAGCTCCAGGCCAGTACCCACAGAACCAGCATCCACACCCACCCAGCTCCAGGCTGGCCCTTGTGCCCTCAGGCTTTTGGCTTGCCTCAGTAACACATTGGTACCCATGGATTCTAGCTCCAGGCTGAACCCCATGGCCTCAGGTATCAGGCCACCACCCAAAGACCCAGCTTCCAATACAGCCCCCATGGGTATAGACTCCAGGCCTGCTCAGTGCCATGCCAGCCCCTGTGGCCCCAGACTGCAGGCTGGCCCCTACAGACTCAGGCTTCATGCCCAGCCCAAGCTCCACACCAGCCCAGAGTAAGGCTGGCCCACACAGCTCCAAGTTTCATTCAAGTGTGATCCAGTATTGAGCTGGCCCCTGCAGCCTCAGACTTTGGGCAGCACTCAAGGACCCAGCCTCCAGTTCCATCCCAGTACAAGATCAGCACCAATGGCCTCAAGTACCAGGCTAGCACCCATAAACCCAGGCTCTAGGATGGCCCCCACAGATATAGGATCCAGACTTCCCCTCTGTCTGGCCAGCCCCTATGGCCCCACACTCCAGTAGACCCAGGATCCTGGCCTACTCCAGAAAATCCAGGGTTCAGGCCCATCCCAGTAGACCCCAATGCACCAGGCCTACCCGCCTGCTGACATAGGTACCAGGTCAGCCTGCCTGAGGACTCCAGCAACAGGTCTGCCCAGTGGGACACATCTGACAGCCTAACCAGAATCTCTGGACAGGCTGACTGGTGAAGGGCTTTCCCAGACAAAGCCAGCCTGAAAAGACTAGAATAAGTCTTTACGTCTTCAAATGTGCAGATACCAGCACATGGCCATGAGAATCACAAATAATCATGAAAACATGATACCACCAAAGGAACAAAATAAAGCACCAGAAACAAACTGCAAACAAATGAGGATCTACAACTGCTTGAAGAATTCAAAATAAATTTGTTAAAGAAGCTCAGTGAACAGCAAAGATAGAATACTAAATGAAATAATGAAAACAATATAATAAGTTTGACAAAGAGATAAACCACAAAAAAACAGAACCAAACAGAAATACTGAAGCTAAAGAGCACATGGCTGAACTGAAGAACTCCATAGAGAGCTTCCATAGCAAGTTAGATCAAGCAGAAGAATCAGTGAGCTTGAACAATAAGCCTACAAGAAATATTGGACACCATCAAGTGAACCAATATTTCCATTATAGGTTTCCCAAAAGGTGCAGAGAAAGAGAAATGGTCAGCAAGCTTATTTAAAGATAAAATGACTGAAAACTTCCAAAATCTGGGGAAAGATTTAAATATCCAGGGAAACAAGCTCAAAGGTCTCCAATCAGCTGAATCCAAATGAGACTATACCAAGACATATCGATTTGTACTCACCATCAAATTGGTATTAACTAATCAACACATAAATGCACATATAAGAATAACATCTATTGGATGTTGGGGAGGGGGGAGGGGACGGG